TGGCTGCCGGGCTGCAGAGTTGTGACGGTCCCCGCCAGCCCTCCCGTGGGGGCCGCTGTCTGGTTACCTTGTCCCGCTGCCAACTCCACGAACACAACAAAAACAACAGCCCCAAAGGTCGCACCGAAGATCCGTGTGTCCCTCATGTTTAGTCCGTCTATCGGCTGGTGTTTTGAAGCGAGCTAGCTGTGTGCAACACAGCAGCACCTAACTCTCACCTGCACAGCCCTAAGGGTCTGTGTGAGCTGTGGAACATAACCAGTCTTTCTTGTTTGGGGCACGGGGCGTCGCCGTGGATCCACTATCTCATGCTCAGTGGGCTGAACAGGTGAGCAGGCCGCCGGAACGCGTCGTGTGGTGCACGTACACCGTACAACTGTAAATAAAACGGCCGGTCAAAAACCACCCTCTCTCCGCTACACAGCAGTGAGTTCACCAAACACGGTATCTGAGAAATGCAGCCCAGCACTAACAGAATTATAGTACTGCAGTACGGAGTAAAAAGCCGTTAAAGGAAAATGTAAGCACTTACCACCTGTGGGGCGAAAAGGTTCTCAGCGGCATACAGGGACGGGGAATGTGCAGGAGGCGGAAAAAACAGTGACGTAATTGTTGGGGAGATCTCTGTCATGCACCTGTTGTGTTGCGGGCCCATCTCCTGTGGTGGATGGTGGGAACATTACACCTGACACAAAAGCTCGCACGCACACTCTCATCCATCTTCCGCCCGCAGGCCTTTTGTCAGTACCGTTGTTGGCTTGACGGGAACAAAGTTAACACTACACCTTTTATCAACACTATCAGTATCAATACATTATTAGATGAAATGTTGCCAAGGGGATAGTCATAATGGAATATGCCATTTTCTGTGCTGACAAAAAGAGGGATATACCGCGGGCCTTTTCAACAAAGTCCTGTCAACCTAGCCTGGCAGCCAATCATTTAAGGGGTTATTAACACTGCCTCGAGCAGGGTTTCAATTGGGCAGACATGATCATAGTGCCCGTAAATTATTCATCATCCTCCCGTAATAATCATATAAAAAATAAAGAACGTGACTGAATACATTGAAATTGGATTACGAGAATTGCGAAGTCTCGGTGTAATACCGTGATATACATTTTCTAGAGCTTTCGTCGTCTTCAATAGGATTATTCCAAGTCGTGGTGTCTAAGAGTCGGATTGTTAGGATATCATTGCCATCACAAGCGCGAATACGGCTGCCTAGAGTACAGCCGTATTCCACCTCCAGCACTACATCATTTTGTAGATAGAGAAAAGGGATGACGTACAATACTCTCTTTGTATTCAGGGGAAACGGTGTGGCACTGCGAAGTTCTGAGAAGGATGGGATAGCTTTGAGCTAAGCCATGATACCAAAGACAAGCCCTGAGGATACGAGATGGCTAGGCTGACGCTAAAACAAGGCGGTCCTGCTCTGTGAATCTAACAACCATCTGTTGGTCTCTGTTCGCCTGAACTGTTTGGAAGGAACGTCGTTTTCGATTTCTGATTTTCGTAAGACGCGAAAATTGAAAAGACAGGGAGCCGGGAGATGTAGCCCCCGTGTTCAACGACATTACGAGAACTGCCAAGTCTTGGGGGAGAAAATGGAATCGATATCCGTACGAAGATGTTTCCTGACTGGTGCGATGATATCATTGCCTAGCTGCGGGCATTGACATTAAGGTTGTATCTTGTCAACACAACATATCCGTGATGCCAGACTCTCATCTTTGTATCTCAACTTGCAAAGCTGGTGTTGAAAAATGCCGGGATTATGCCACCATTACAATCTTCATTTAAGTCTTTGCAAATGCGTTGGGGTCGGATTACGTCTAAAAGGTTAGAACGAACAGAAACACTGGTGCTCCCAAGTTATCTCTCAATCATTTCTAAACCTCAGCTAGCAGCTCTAGATAACTTGCCATCTCTCAATAGCAGACCCACCGGCCCATTACCGCTGGTGGGAGCGGGAGATAAGAAGACCACAGGGAGTAAATTGATTGCGGGACGCAACAAAAGTCAGAACGAAGCTTATGTACAGAATTGATAAAAACGTACCGCGGGGTCCAATGCCTTTGGAAAGAGGTTTGGCTGTTGATTTATTCGCTAAGTAAGTTCCAAGGTGGCGATGCTCATGTCTATGTTGTGTCTGACTATCCTTACACCACCACTAAGGAAAAAACTATGCTATGGCACTAACTTCACATGTTCATACATCTACAACTGCCCCAAGAATCGAAGAGAAGTCGGACCTGTAAAAAGTAGTTCAAATTAGTATGAATAGTTGAAGTGAGATATTACTGTAAATCTTCCCTGTTTATTCATGTACTTAGCTTGTAAGAGCATAAACGTACAATAAAGGTCTTTCATTCATTAAGAAGTTCCAACAGGAAAACATGACCGAGAGATGTGTGGTTTGTAGAGCTTGTACTTATCCACCACTGTGCCTGTGATGGTGATGTTCCAAATTAATGTTTTTTAATGTCTATTATCATATAGCCGGGTGGCGTAGACCAATCAGAGGCCTCCGTTACCCGTGCTTTATTCTCCGATAAACCATGGCTCAGCCGTGCGTTATTCTCCATAAACCATGGGTGAAACCATAATGATATAGGGGTACACAGCTCTTTCTGTTAATATTCATAGCAGTTTCCTGGTCAGACAAAATTATGTTTTTTTTTAAGCTTCGTATAAACTAAAATGTGTGTGAGTATGAAATGTAT